AGTTAGAGTCTCACTTTCCCGCCCCCGGTAGAGTGCCGTAGCATCACAGCTCACAGCAACCTCCGACTCTGGCGCTCAAGCAAGTCTCCTGCCTCAGCCTCCCAAGTAGCTGGGATCACAGGTGCCCACCACAGTGCCCAGCTATTTTTTGGTTGCAGCCATCATTGTTGTTTGGCAGGCCCCGGCTGGATTTGAACTCACCACCTTAGGTGTATGTTGCTGGCACCTTAGCCACTTGAGCCACAGGTCCTGAGCCTCTTTACTTACTTTGTTGTTCAAATTATACCATGTTTGGCCATTGGGAGGTCTTTCAGATGGTTTGTGCCCCTTTGCCACACCCTCATTGCCATATATGTTTTAAGTACTCCCTCTTTTTTTTTTTTTTTTTTTTTGGCACTAGAATATGTTCTAGGCTCATCTTGTGTATTTCTTAAGTTGACTCTAGTTTCTTTTATTGGAAAATAGTGTTAGAAAGCAAGATCTGGGTGGTACGTTTCTTGTTTCTGGGATGTCCTTGCTTTTAGGCCCTCAGCTGACAGCAAGGAAACACATGTATGTACTAAAATGAGTATATGTGCATGCATATATATAGGGTGACCATAAAGTTCACGTGCAATTTAAAATAGTGTACACTTTAAAATTGCACGTGAACTTTACAGTCATCCTATATATTATATGTATATGTGTATATATAAAAACATTTCTATATGTAATCATCTGTATTTATATTAACCTGAACATGACTTTATACTGATATATCCAACTCTAATCCATTACCACATGAATCATTCTAGTTTTTTTTTTTTGGCTCATCTGTAAACTTATATCCAATAGTATAGAACTGGTTCCTAAAGAGGACATAAGGTCTGACAATTAAGTTTGCAAACTTGCCACCATGCACTTACATTGGCAACACTGTACAGACAGCTCGGTAAGGTTTCAGAACCTTGGTATGTCAGTGTCTTCACAGTTGTGTTCATGTCAAAATATGGCAGTATCATCCTGAATCGCATTCATTATTGTTGGGTGTTTTGTATGCCATCTAGAGAATGTCAGATGGAACAATGAAGAAATATTTGTAAATTTCTTGGGCTTGGTGCTCATACCACAGTGGTTATGGTGCCGGCCACATGCACAGAGGCTGGAGGGTTCGAACCTAGCCCTGGCCAGCTAAACAACAATGACAACTGTAACAAAAAAATGACCAGGCATTGTGGTGGGTGCCTGTAGTCTCAGCTACTTGGAAGGCTGAGGCAAGAGAATTGTTTAAGCCCAAGAAGTTGAGGTTGCTGTGAGCTGTGATGCAAGGGCACTCTATCAAGGACGATGTAGTGAGACTCTGTCTCAAAAAAAATTTTTTTTTGTTACACTTTGCAAGAGTGGAAGTGAAATCAGGGACATGTTACTCTAAGTTTATGGAGATAATCCGTGAAGAAAACAGCAGTACATAAATGCATTAAACATTTTTCTGAGCAGAGAGAAAGTGATAAAGACAGGTCTGGATGGCCAGTAATGAGCAGAACTGATGAAAATACTGCAAAAATTGATCAAATTGTGCATCGAAATCATCAGCTGATTGTGAGAAGCCTGGCAGACCAAATAAACATTGACAGAGAAACAGGAATATCATAACTGAAAATCTTGGCCAACAACTCATGGCTCTTTTGCATCACGACTGCACCAGCTCACACATTGTAAGGGAGTTTTTAGCCAGTAAACAAGTAACTGTTTTTTATAACTGCTCACCTGATCCTGCTTTCAGTGTAACTTTTTTGTTTACCCAAAGATAAAGGAAATATCGAAAGGAAGACATTTTGATGACATTTTGGACATCAAGGGTAAAATGATGACAGCTTTGATGAACCTTGTAGAAGAGGAGTTCCAAAATCGCTTTAAAGGGTGGACTAGGATGACTTTGCAAACTTAATTGTCATACTTTTCTAAAGCAAAAATATTAGTGGAAAGGATAACATTGTTTTACGTTGTTATAAATATCTTTAATAACTGGCTTAATACATTCTCACATCTGCTTCTGCATTCAGTCTGCTATCAAATGTTGCTTTGGTTGAAATGTATTAAGACAACGAAGCTTCCCACAGACAAGAAGTTGGAAAAAGGAAGAGTATTTTGTTTTTCTTTTTCTGTTAAGCAGGCCCAGGCCAGGTTGGAACCCACTGGCCCTAGTGCCCAGGACCAGAGCTCTAATCACTAAGCCATGGGCGCCCAGCCAGGAAGAGTATTTTAATAGCCTTTCACATCACTGGATATTTTTCTTTGTTGTGACTCCAAAATTCAGCGAATAGTCATTCTTTAAAGGTTAGTCGAAGTGGGAAATCTGACATATCAATGAGTTTTGTTTCTTTTAACCCTCTGTTACATTAAAATCCATTGGTCTATCTTGCACTTGGTTCTTTTGAGGAGGCAGGGAACAGAGCCTTACTATGTTGCCCCAGGTGAGAGTGCCATGGTATCAGCCTGTCTCACAGCAATGTCAAATTCATGGGTTCAAGCAGTCCTCCTGCCTCAGCCTCCCTAGTAGGTGAGATTAGAAGTGCCCACCATGGCAGCACCCATAGCTTAGTGGGTAGGACACTGGCCACATACACCCAGGCTGGCAGGTTCGAACCCAGCCAGGGCCTGCTAAACCATGACAACTGCAACAACAACGAAAAATAGCTGCTTGGTGTGGCAGGCACCTGTAGTCCCAGCTACTTGGGAGGCTGAGGTAAGAGAATTGCTTAAGCCCAAGAGTTTGAGGTTTCTGTGAGCTGTGACGCCACGGCACTCTACCCAGGGTCTCAAAGAAATAAATAAATAAAAGAAGCGCTCACCACAATGCGTGACTAACTTTTCTATTTTTAGTGGAGAGAAGGGTCTGTCTCTTGTTCAGGCTGGTTTTGAACTCTTGAGCTCAAGGGATCCTCCTGCCTCAATCTTCCAGCGTGCTGGGATTATGGGTATGAGTCACTGTGCCTGGCCTTACCTTGCATTTTGAATGAGTCTATTTTACCCATGTATGATTTTATAGTATTTTATATTAACTACTTGTGAAACATTGGTTCAGTGAATTATGCAGATCTTCCAAATGCTGTTACATTTAATCACACAGTATGTAAAAATCACCTTTGTTGATATTGCTACTGATCTTATTAAAAAGGTGGTTAAATATTGAGAAACTTTAAGGCTGACAGTAGAAAAGTTTCGAACAGAGTCTCACTATGTCACCCTCGGTAGAGTGTCATGGCATCACAGCTCACAGCAGCCTCAAACTCTTGGGCGTAAGCGATTCTCTTGCCTAAGCCTCCCAAGTAGGTGGGACTATAGGTGCCCACCACAATGCCCAGATATTTTTTGTTGCAGTTGACATTGTTGTTTAGCTGGCCCTGGCCAGATTCAAACCTACCAGTCTCAGTGTCTGTGGCCGATGAAGTAACTGTGCTACGGGCGCTGAGCCAGTTTCTAAAATTCTAGTTTTTCACTTGGTATCTTGAATTTTGCCATAAGCAACAAATATTATTAAGAGATAGGTTTTCTTTGTTCATGTTAAAGAAAATATATGCCAAACACAAGTGTGAAAAACCATAGTTTTATTAGTGGTTCTTTTATTTATTTATCTTTATTTTTGAGACAGAGTCTCATTCTGGGTAGAGTGCGATGGTGTAGTGGCTCACAGCAACCTCTAATTCTTGGGTTTCAGCAATCCTCTTGCCTCAGTCTCCTAAGTAGCTGGGACTGTAGGTATATGACACCATGCCCAGCTAGTGTTTTTCTATTTTTAGTAGACTGGTCTCAAACTTAAGAGCTCAAGTAATCCACCCACCTCAAACTCCCAGAGTGCTCTCATTATAGGTATGAGCCACTGCACCTGGCCTATTAGTGGTTAAGTAAAAATGGTCTATTAAAAAAAGAAAGTCAGCTAGGTCAGTTTATACATCAAACAATCCCATTAATACTTTTCCTTGTACTATAATGGCTATATGAATGATTGCGATCATTTATATTGCTTTATTAAAGATATTCCT